TCATTGGAGTGAATATTGTTTGTTCAATTTTTCTGTTGTTTGTTGTGTGATGGGTGTTTGGCACTGTTTGCTCTTTCTCACCTCCAGTTTTTCCCACTGCTGTTTAAGGTGCTCGCCTGGGGAGGATCAGAGTAAGTTCTCGGTGAATATCATCCTACCTGCTTCAAGCACTATTTCTGTTTGTTGTTGTTTTTCCACCCCTTTCCCTCCCTGTTGTTGCCTTACTCCGTAGAGATTTGTTGCACCCTGTAGGCTAAACATGCTCGTGCCCTCCTCGTGTACCGGTGCAGACCCGTTCGCCATCGGGAGTTGTGGTGGTTTAAACCACCAGTACTTGGCTCAGCTATCGGTCGCGGAAAAAAATACAGTGGAAACGTTTCTAATCGGATGAATTTGGGCGCTCCTGTAGTGGCCTGTACGTTTCCTAAAACCGTGGCTTGTATGGGCACGACTTTAGGAAGTACTGGTAGTTTAACGGGGGATCACAAGGGCGATTCAAGATTCCGTAATTGTCACGAGGCCCTCTGATAAATGAGAGCAGAGTGATTTGTGTTGCTAATTGCCATGACAGCATGACCTTACCTTTGTTCTTGTTTTTATATAAGAAAAAGAAAAGAAAGGGAAAAGAAAAAGAGGCAAGCCACAAATGTGAATCTGCTCAGAAGCTGTGCGTAGGTCCGGGTGGCCGCACAACCGGGCAGACGCCCAGGCTGCCGGAGCTGGGAAGGTCTCCCTGGGCGCATGCCAGGTGGGCCTGCACAAAAGTAGTTGAGGTCACTGGTCACCGCCCAGCACAGAAAAGGCGGCCTAGACCCCTGCCCTTTTCTTTGAAATTTTCTGGCTGAAACCTGGCTTGAGATCTTCCTGCCCAGTAGCAACCAGATTTTGCTGAGGACTTCGATCCCCCGACCACAATGTTGTGAGTGTCATCGGAAACTTATCCCTATTTTGAAATGTTTTGGACTTTTTATCAAGTTTTTAACTGTTCTGTCGGTGCACAATATCATATTGGTTTTTTAACTTTTTACTAAGTTTTTAGAATTCCCGACAGGGTTGCATCCCTGCCGACTGCCGACCGTATTGCAGCCGACCAGTTGGGCTGACCGGTCGCCGGTCTGCCGACCAGTAAAAAAAAAAAAAAAAAAAAAAAACGTCCACTGATTTTTTTTCAAGTACTGCGCTTGCTGAGTACAGCTCAAATCCGCTGAGAAACTCTTGGGGATGGGGGGGAATATGGGGGAGTTGGGGTTGGAGTATAGGGGGTTATAGGGGTGGTATAGGGGGTGTTGGGGGGCCCGGGGCGTAATGAGGGTGTTGGGGGCGGTTTGGGGGCGGTTTGTGGGGGTATATGGGGGTATTGGGGGACGCTATGGGGGTGTTGGATGTGTTATTGCGGGGTGCCGACGACCCCCGACCGGTAGGTGCCGACCAGCTGATTGGTCGGCGGGTCGGCAGCCAACCAGTCAAGGGCCACCGACCGTCGGGGGGTGCAACAATGATTCCCGAGCTAAGAGATGAATCATCCACATTGTCTTCCCTACACCTCCCAGCTGCATACCTTGTGTATAATACTGTATATCTGAGTGAGGACGCCGCCCGGGCGGGCTGGGCCCGACCAGTTGGGCCCGGGGCGGCCGCCCGGGTAAACCGGGCGGGCCAAAAAACCGCCCAGAAATATATATATATATATATCCAGGGTCACCAGCCCGTACGTACGGAGGTCCCCGGGCAGACCTCCGTACGTACGGGCGTTTGGGGTCCCGTACGGGGTCCGAACCCGATGGCGTTCGGCCCCCGCCAGAAATTATTTCGGGGCCTAAAAATAATTATTTTTTTCTGAATTTTTTTTTGTGAGTTCTCTATGACGTGAGGTACATGCCTGTAAATTTTCAAGTCATTTGGCTAAGCGAAATAAGAATTAAAAATCGCCAAAGATGGCGGTGTCAAAACGTGCTCGCCCACGTATTTTTTCACTTTTTACTTTTTGTTTTCACTTTAGTTTGGGGTCTAAACAATTTTATTATTGAAACTTTTTTAGTGGGTTTTGTATTATGTGAAGTACACATCTGTAAATTTTCAGGGCATTTAGCTATGCCAAAAAAAAATGAAAAATCGACAAAGATGGCGGTGTCGAAAACATGCTCGCCCACTCACAAAATTTAATTCTTTTTTTATTTTTATTTATTTTCATTATTAGTATTTGTTTTCTGTATTTTTATTTCAAATTTGGTAAGGAATTCGGATGTAATGCTCAGGCAAATATTGTTTAATTTATTTTTCTCCATAAGATATCTTTTTTTCAGATTTTTTTGATGACTTTGTTTTTTATTTTTTTTTATTTTTTTGGGTCCGCGTTCGGCCCGAACGGCCGAACGCATCCCCAAGGGGTCCCATACATTCGGGCGTTCGGCCCGTCCCGAACGCCGGTTACCCTGTATATATCTATATTTTGAAACCGGGCTCGTTCTGCGCCCGGTGAGAGGACCCCAAATCTGCAATA